CGTATGTTTGTAGATCTACTTGATTTTAACCATTTTTGAAATTTAGAATTTATAATTAGATATAAAAATAGATTTTGAGATAATGCTAAGAACATTTTACATCAAAATTATATACCGTGATAAAATTTGAATGTGCACCTTACTTCTACAGCTACGGATACATCCATATGCTAACTGCACCCCCATCTTAAAGATGGATGTTAGTAGGTGTTCCATATGAAAGCAACGGAAACTAACGGTACAAATGTTTTCTTACTAGAATTGTTATTTTTAGTTTTTAAAATTTATTTATTTATTTCATATTCATGTGTTTATACTCGAAATTACGGGTAGGGGACTCCGCCCTCGCCTTGATTTCGGCTGCAAACAAATCGATGATTTGATAGAGTATGTGTTCCATCAAATTATGTTCCGAGGAAGAATCGAGTTCTAAGACTTTATCCATCTCGGATCGTCGACATAGCTGGCTTCCCTATTATCTTAACATTGGAATTGAATTAAGAAGATTTTAAAAGGGGTTTTGAGATAAGAGGAATATTTTAAGAAAATAGATTTAAAAAGAGAGCAAAGGAAGAGAACCATAAATAAATGATTAAACTAGAGAGATGCAAATAAACATGATTAAAGAATCGAAATACTAGATGTAAGAAAAATAAGAAATTGCAAAGTATGGAGACAAAATAGTGAATCTAATCTAAGCATGCATGACATATAATGAAAGAGAGAAAGAGAGAGAGAGTAATCTGGAGATATGAGCATGGTTAAGAATAAGGAAAATGATGAGATCTTTATCAACGAGGCAGAGAGAATTAAGTATGAAATGCAAATAAAGATAAAAATATAACATGAGGAGAAATAACATGGAAGAGATGAGCGTAGAAGGTAACTAATACTAATAAGTAACATCCAATGAGAGTAAATAAACTAAATATAAGAAAGAAATAAAATGAAAGAGCATAAGAAAGAGGGTTAAGATGAATGAATTAGAGAAAAATAAGGAGTGATTCACTAAAGGGAGAAGAAAATGATAGATAGATGTAAGTCCCTACTAGAGGATAGGAAAAAGAAGGAATTGCAAATATAACAAGAATAGAAGAAGAGAGGATGAGCTATTGAACAAAATATAAAGGAAAATAGAAAATAAGCATAAGAGATGATAGAGAATAAGAGGGATGGAGGAATCTACATCATTAAGTGAATAAGAGGAGAAAGATGAATAAACACAACCAATCGAAAGAAATAATTACAACATGAAAAGAAAATACTATCACCAAATAGAGAGGATGAAAGATTAAGGTGAGAAGAAGAGCCATAAATATAACAAACCAAGAAA